GATATAGAAGTAAAAATAAGTATAATCGTAAGTAAGAAACTTGACATTTCAGTTGAGTATTCAGTTTACGAAGCAGTGCGTATTTTCAAAACACGGTGTGTCGTAACAATTGTGCAGCAAAATTTCCAGCGAGGCACTAATAACCGCTGAGCGACTATTTTCCCGAACGGGAAAATAGCCCATATTGGTTTTGTATACTTGATAGACTAACGATTTATTCAATCAATAAATATTCACTGCTGTGCTTATTAAATTATAGAATATTTAAGTCATGGTTGGTGAATCACAAAAGTATAATCTACTTGATAATCCTAATTCTATTCACTATCACGAAGCATAATAATTCGGACAATAGCGCATTGACCATAAATGTCTTAACATCTCCTTAAAAACAAATCAGAAATCAAGAAGGCACTGCTGCATTATAAAACAGCCGACACGTATGGTGAGCATTGACAGGACACTAATGACCTTTTTGAAGCAGTGATTAGGCTACATAGTAAGCGTTCGACAGCAGAAACGGTTTACAGATGCCTTGGAAACTTTAACGTACACAGAGTTGCTTCCCGTAGTGCTAAGATAATAAAAAGCAAGCTTACCGAAACCCAGCGGGGTTAATTAACTTATTCTTAATGCAGTATTTAATTTGGTTGCGGTCATTTAGAGACTTACCTGTTCAACGGCTTCTCAATCCAATAAAATTTTTACGAGAATGGCCGCGAACCGTTGCCTTCCGGGTGTCTGTCGAAGTACCTCAGGAGAGGACCTTCTGCATTTCATTGTGTAATCGTAAATAAAACGGCAAATCGAAATCTCTCAATGCTTGCGAGGGCCTTATATGAGTACCCAGCCTAATATGAATTAAAATGACCTCATTTAGATACGAGAACGAATGACTGCTGCGCCTACCAAAAATCTGAATGAATCCATGGTTTCATCTTCTTCAAATGTTTTAAGGTCGATCTTGTTGACCCATATGGTACCTTGATATTCAGGAATGTTAACTTTTTCAATAAAACGACAAGGATCTACTAGCTCGGCAAAAGGCGTGTGCACATGCTGCGAGGCGAGATATACATCTCAACAGGTCTGAAAAAACAATCCCAGCAGGTATTCAAGACGTTCAACTATAGGATTGGCAGTTTATATATGATAACGGGCCTCTCCGCATTGGTGATGCTGGATATTTCTTACCAAAAATGGTCAATGTAATCACTGTTGGTGATATAAATCAAGAGATTACCGAATGCGCCCTTATTTCTGAAACATTGGGCGGAAATGTGAATCCGGCTTATGAATAGAAAGCCGTATTTATATGGGATTGCATTAAGAATACTCACCGGTGAACTGTGAGCCAATAGTATGCGGTCTTTAGGCCGTTCAAAAAGCACTCAGGAGAAGACTCGCAATTCATACAGCGTGTATATTTCAATTACAGCGTCAAGAAAGGGGAAACAAGGTTGCGGTGGAAGATGATGATACGATCGTTAGAACTAGATCTCTGTGTGGTTTGGGTTTCTGATTCATGCTCGAATTCATTCTTCGAGGCAGAATGAGATATTGTTTCCAACGGTCGTGTAATCATTTTCCACACTGCTGACTAGAATCAACGTTGTCATTTTTATTTAACAAAGTTCTCACGATAACTCTGCGAAATGGGTTTCTTCCTGAGATTCGCTGTTTAAAAAACTAAACGATCCTGACATGAGGAAAGTTCGATAATTTACAGTTTAAGTGGCCGAAATCGTCAAATATTAACCGAATTTCTGAAAGGGGTTTTCGATTAGAAAGGACTCTTTAAGAAGGTTTGTTATATTAATTATCTTGCCAAGATATTTTGGACAAGGCCAGGTATATACATTTTAATACACAATACACACACAATGCACACAATATATAATATACAGTTTTTCGGCCCCCGGCAGCAACCTTGCTCGGTAAAAATGACAAATTAGTTAGGAAGGGTTCTTTAAGTGGTTTTGTAATATTAGATAGATTGTTTCAGCCTACTGCCAAGGTAGTTCGGACAAAACCAGATAAAAACTTTTTAATGAACACATTTTCGGTCACCGGCAGATAGGTAGAAACGACAAATTAGTAGTAGCCCTCTGTCGATTAATTTTTTATTAAAATATATTTTTAGGATACCTAAACGAAACTGTTTTTGAAGAAAGTTCACAGACAGCCACGTCTTCCTTTAATTCTACACTAGCAAGCACAATATAACAACGTTCAAGAACAAATTTTCGAAGCTTTAATTTTTTTTTGTGCATGATCTGTAATTGCATTTTCGTTTATAGTTTCAAGTCTAAAATCTGCATCTTTTCTGTGCGAGGAAAGTCATAGATTCATGTTTACCATTAAGCATAAGCCATGTACTATCCATACAGATTTCCAATGGATGCGGACCATTGAGAATACCTCATGAGGAGAAATACTTAACAGACGGATACGAAGATACTTGAAAGAACGTTATACCGTCTGAAAAAAACATATTAATTAGGAACTTCTTTTAAGAGCCCACAAATACCGCTTTTCGAATACACATTTTGATGAATAAACCATGCGCCATGAAAGGCCTACAAAAACGGGTATTTTGAGCATTTGTCCTATAACACCTATTTGTTTATATAATGACATCGATGATCAATAGAAAAAATGCATAGTAATTGGGCATTGACATTTTATCAAGTGCGATTCTTGCCCATGCCCGAAAAGACTGCATTCAAAAGTCAGCACCCAGCCTGTCTAAAATACTGGGATATGTTGCATGATAATCGATATTAGGCAGAAGTATCTTTTGAAGTGGATAATTTTACTAACTACTTACATGCATACTAAATGCATTTCAGGAGGTGTAATTGTTTTCACACAGGTTTTCGACTTGACTCAGTTCAATATTCCTATTGATTGGAAACTTTATTGGATTGGTAAGGCTCCTACAAAATCCCGGCCTATCATTTCATAAACAAAACCTGTTAGTTGCACATACACAGCTCTTAGCTCATGGATTTAGAAGTGATAAACGGGCTGCTTCACCTTAGGTGCCGTTCAACATCCTCGCCTATCATTTCATTTACAAAAGGTGAAAGTTGCAGAAGCGATACATACTACCAACGATACCTCTGTCCGATATTAAAAACCCAATTAATGCAATCTTTCACAATCCCAAACGTGTTCCAGGAATTAAGCGGCGTACTAGCGGCGCCCTACAGGGTGCCCACAAGTCGTGTAAAAGATTTATCTTTACGCCAGTTCGTTTGCACACAAGGCAGGTAACAAAGATTTTCGTAAACTATACCAAATATTGGAAGGTAACAGTGCTTAGGAAAGAAGCGAGAGGGGGTGGGACTGGATTCCTCTAACTACCTGAATGAGTTCGACTTCCGTGCGGATGACTCCAGTGCCCAGAGTATATTCAGTCATGTCACCTAGCAGGAAGCACATACTTCTGGCCAGCGTGAAGACCTCACCGGATATGTTTTTATTGTCAAACTCCTCCAGGAAACGTGTTTTCTCCACGTAAAACTCTGCAATTTTACTGGAGAGAGTGCTGTCGCAGACGGCTGCAGCGGACCGCAGCTCTTCTTCCTGAAACGGTGACGGGCTGCGGGTGGTAAGATGTTGAGTCCTGGACTGACCTTGTCGGTCTGAATGTGCAGATACTAATGGAGAAAAGAATCGAAATAGAGAGCATGGGGTAGCATCCGAGTAAGAGCCGTTGTAAAGGCGATTTGGAAGTACTCTCTAATTTTTTATCTTAAAAAATAGGTACAGTCGTGAAGTCTAAATAGCGCTCTTTCCTGACGCCTGATGTTCAGGACGGCAGCCTAATTATTTAAACAGTGTTTAAACTTGAAAAGCCTACCACCTTACAGGAAATGGTTCAGCCAAATCGATAAGATTGTTAGTAATTTAGCACAGATAGAACGAGCTCAGAAAAAATCTTACAATAAACGCCATAAAGTTTATTTGAAGTAAGCAGAATACGGAAAAAACGATGAGGAAAACTGGAATGGTTGTTCATGGCCTAGTAGAAATCATCAATCGGCTACAACCGGTTCTGAAGCGCTGATAGCTTGAGGACTGGCTCTGGCTTCAGTGGCTTAAAGGGCAGTGTCGTAAAAAAAGTTCAAGTATCACGAAAGACTGCGTCCATACCTTGCCCGTGGAGTGTGCGGAACACCACTGACTTACGAGTGAACTCGTGATGCGGGCTAAATGGCTGTCAAAGATATACAGCCCGTCTACGCGTGCCGTACACGTGACGTGGTCTCAGTTCAGTTGGAATTTTGCATCAGTGAGGGTGCATAAAGTGCACACCAAAAATAAGGTATTGTGGGCTGAATCACCGTCTTGAGGAAGACAGCAAGCTGGCAACATTTCATAGCACGGTTCACCTTAATAGCTTCTAGCACGTCAGCTTAGGTAAAGTCAAGAATGCGTAGATGTTCCATGAAGGCGGACCTCCGAGTCGGTCTCCCTCGTTGTTCCTCCGTGCATGCATCAGTCGACTGGCCAAGCCTGTCAACAAGCTAATGACGGGATTAGGTCCTTGTCTGACGTAGCACGTCCTACGACGACACGTACGGAAAGAGTGCAGGGATTGGCTGCGTTCACTCGACGCAGGCCGATAACGGCGCGCTGTGAGTCAACTTCGTCGTCATAGTGTTTGCAGTCCGAAAAGTCAAATCATTCATGTGGAAAATTTCAAAATCAAAACTGAAACATTTCCAAATACGCGATAAAAACCAGAAGCTTTTAATCTTTTGCACAAAAACTGGGCCCTCAGCAGACTCGAATACATATGCAAAATAAGTTTCGGCAAAGGCAGTTTAAGTAGTGCACCTCATAAACTCCTAGTGCTAGCATTTGTCCTACGGGAACGTAGGTTATAGGGGCTTTGGGGGTGGGGTTATAGGATAGGCGGTGAAGAAAATTTGCAGAAATAAGTGTTAAGTGCCAAAAATGTAGATGAATTTACGTCCCGCAGTCGCTGGGAGTAAGTTGTTCCGCATGTAAATTAAAGGTGTGCCATCCATCGCTATTCGTTAGGTGCATATCGATATTGCATCTGTCTGTCCCGATAATAAAAACACACATCTTGACACATCTTTATCAGTAAGAAGTTTGTTTCGCCTCCGGCCCAGAACGGTGGAACTTCCTCTAACTTCTGAAGGTCGCGGACTATACTAATCTAACTCCAGAACGGTAAGTTGGACGTCAGATAAGTTGAAGTAGACGACCTCTTATCAACATTTCTGTTTTTTCAGGAATGTCAAGAAAACTGCATTTTGCTAATCGAGTTTTTTCACAATACCTTCAAGGATAAAACAGATCAGAAAAATCTACAGATATAAATCAACAGCATTTATAAATACAACAAAATAAAAAAACATATCGCAGTTATTCAAGTATATTCCACTGCCTATCCTAATTCCCCACACATAAAACCCCTTATGACCGCCGTTTCCGTAGGACAGAATGTTGGGACTACGGGTATATCAGGTCCACTACGTAAACTTC